CTTACTAGACAAAATCTTTTTTGAATAAAGAAAACTTTCTCAACAAAACCTATAAGCAACATGCTGACAGGTGTTCCTTAGACAGAATCAACTGATCAACATGACGTCAAGCATAAATATTTAACATAAAACATATTACCGTGAAGCAGACAGCTTTAGTTACAACCTGAATTAGCAGCTGTGTTTGCCCTTGTATATTGATGGACGGCAGTGTTTTTTTCCCCTCTCATTTTTAGCCAAGTTATGAGAAAAGCCAGAACTATCAAGTTGGGGCTTTTTACAGTTTTTGACAGGGTATTAAATTAGTCTTCTCTCTGTTGAAATAAAATTTATAATATAGATATTTCTCATAAYTCGTATAAAGAGAAACATAAAATAATAGCACTAGCCTCTCCAGTGCTAACACAAATGAATAGTCTTCCTCTCATTTACCAGCRCCGGCCTCTCAGTTATCGTTGCCGGCCCATCATTAATCAGATCAATAGCTGGCTTATGAATAAATATAGCCTCCTGCTACAAGGATGTAGCAACTGCTGGTTGCACAATAGCCTTAATTTTGGCCCTCATACCCACCATAGTCCCCACCCCTCGCATAGTGACCCTGAAAGGAATAATTGGGTAAATGATAACAGATGGAATCTAAACATTAAACATTTTGCAGAACAACTTCAAAGGAGTTGGATTGTTAGTGCTTTGAATATATTGACCTAATTATACATTATTCCAACTACTTTGATATTTTAGGCACCAACRTGCTTTAGAGATTTATCCCATATGAAGCTCAGTTTAATAATATTTACTGAAAGAGCAATTTTACACCTTCCATAATAAATCATTGAGGTTGCAACTAATTTGACGTTACTCTGGTGTCTGTATAAACCTCACCGCGTCTTTTGAAGGCATTTTATCGATGCTATGCTGTGTGCCACATCCATATTTCACTTATTTGCTTCGTTTTAACTCATCGCTCTTGTTTTGTCTCAACAGAAGTAGCAGAACTTGAAGCCAATCTTCCTAGTAAGTATGCCTTACAATGTTGTAACCACAAATTATGATTTTGTTGTTTAGCAAATTGCTTTGATATTTTTAACAGTACATTTGGTAAACATGGTAAATTAACTGAATATTGAACTTTTTTTTAATAAAAAAAAAATTAGTATGTTTGTGTCAACTGATGGTTTAATAAATAAATAGATAAAAACATTCTTTAAAGTCGTTTCATCAACGTCCGTGCTGTTCCAGCTCCACCACATAAATATTTCTGTATGAAGCAGAAAAAGAGTTATGGGACTAAATATCAACATGTTTGCTGTTGGTCTGAAGGGGCGTAATGCCTGATTTATTTCTGGTMTTGGGAGATATTTGCTCAAACAGATTTCACACCACACAGACTTTAATTTGAGGATTTCCTCCATTGAGAACATACGAAACACATCACACAGAAGGTCATGGTTACTTTTGACTGAATGGAGCATATTTGGTTTAACTGTGAGCCTGTARTGTATTTATTTTATTTGTGTAATTTTACATCTTAAATAAGAAAACCTTAGCTAAAAACATARTGGAATTATTAAAACCAAATGAACAAGTAAAAACCAAAAAAATCTTCTGCCTTTGTGCCGTCTTTCTCCTCACTCGTCTGTTTCCGTTGTTTTGACTGGATAAAACGTGCTCGGTGACAGCAGTATTTGATTTATAAATCATTTCATTTGCATAGCTTACCTGATCAGTACACCAGCCTTGTCTGACACAAACAAGGACACTGGGAAACAGAAGAGTGAAATGAAAGGCAAACCACAAGCAAAAATATTCGTTAACTCGCTCATATATTCAACACAAGGCACAGCTTTGTTTGTCAAATAAAAGTGTTGACATACACTTAAAAAGCGTTTCTTTTTATTATATTGTGATGTTTGGTATGAGAGTGTTTAGGTGTTTGAATCACAGAATAATTTAATGTCAGCTTCTCAGTGTTGGCCACATTTTCTATTTTTATGGAGGTAAATAAATGAATTAGTAACTTGATTGCTGCTGTATTCGTTCTGCCTTCTCAATTAAACAAGAACAAGTATGTGTTTGAAGGAGGAATGCAGTGCAACAGTTTGAACTTGTCTAAAATCTAATTACACGTTACACATTAAGAGAGTCTCAGATTTTTCTTCATTCGTGGTGAATCAGAAACCGAGCTCCCGAGACAATCTCAACAGAGGTAATTGAACAATATTTTTTTAGTTAGAATACACAAATTAAAACACATGGAGAAGCACACAAAAATACAGTATATAATACAACACACTGTGTTAGTAATATTTCAGGCAGTACCTGTCACTACACACTAGGGGGGAATATGGTGCCATAGGGACACCTAAAGGCAAATTGTTTCTTATTCAGCTGAAACAAACTGGTTTCATAAGAACTTTATAGAAAAATATTCAGTTATTGATTTTAATACCACAAAGAAAGAAATCAAATGTTCTTATAAACTTTCATAGAGCTGCTTATGACTCAAACAAATGTTATTTTGTCTCCCATCACACTGCAGGTACTTGCAAAGCCTGTTTTCCAGATGAGAATAAGCTGCACCATTTTCAGCTGGCGGTGTCTCCTGGTAGGAGAAAGATTCTTCTTCTGTGTGAATAACTCCTTTTGTTATTGGATAAATTAAAAAACAAAACCCTGTCTCATCGCACACTATTATTCTGTTTTAGTAATTGTTAGATAACGCTACATGCAATGTAAAACTTTGAAATTAAAAACATCAAAGAAAATTAAACCTGTTACATATGTTAATATCATACATAAGAAACTGTATTATGGATTTTTTAAACAGAAGGAACGGTTTTTTGATGAGCGCGATGCTGTTAGCAGGTTTTCTTTTGGTCTGAGTTCATTTACATTGAAAGGAGCTTTGAGCTCATTTGTATTTCTACATTAACTTTGCACTTTCATTAATCCCAAAAACCATTCTGGTTGCTCAGCAGTGTTCTGAGCTAAGTGGGCTACCTGTCGAGGGGTTGTACAACATATCACGTTGACGAGGAATTACACAAGACACCCTTCTTACTAAGTAAAGCAAGGGACAAAATATTTTAATTTCAAATAATATAAACTTGACACGCAATATAATCATTAAAAACAACCCTGACTATAGGACATGTGTTTTTGTCACAATTTTGGAAAGTTAGATCATCCCTTTATTTTTGTGATTTTCCTCTTAATAGTTTTAGTTCTGTTTTTTTATATTACTTTAAAGTGCCTGTGACACAAAAGTTTTGCTATAAACTTGGATGTATTTTTGGAGAGATAACATTGATAACATATTGCAAAACAAATTTCACACCACTGAGATGAACAGTTGTTGAGATATTTGCATGTGAAGAAACAGGAAGTGATGTCAAAGGGGAATGTCTGCGTGTGAACAGAGCATCGTTACAACAGCCAACAGCAAAGACTAGAGTAGGATCTGATGTTTCTTTAGATTATTTTGAGTCTCTATCAAAGAGAGATGAAGAAGAGTTAAAGTTTAAATAATATATTTTTAATAAACGAAAACAGAGATTATTTTATTGAGTTCCCCTTTGATGTCACTTCCTGTTTCACTTTGACTGAGCCAATTTCAAAAGAAAATAGGCCAGTTACAGTATGTGACAAAATGGATAAAATCATGTGTATTATAACAATATTCTTAAGTATAAATATGTTTTCTTTGACAGTTTGTATTTGAAGGATAGGCATGTCACAGGAACTTTAAAGAGCCTGTGGCACCAAATTATTGTGATAAATATGAATATGAATGCATTTTTTGGCAGGATAACATTGAAAATACATCACAAATAATATTTCATGCGGCTGTGATGAACAGTTGTTGAGATATTTGCATGTGAAGAAACAGGAAGTGATGCCAAAGGGGAATATCTGCATGTAAACAGAGCGTTGCTACAATGGCTAACAACCCAGACTGTAGAGATGAATCTGATGTTTCTTTAGATTATTTTGAGTCTCTATCTGAGAGTGATGAAGAAGAGTCAGAGCTCAAACATTGTTGTTTCAATAAACAAAGACCAGGGTGTTCTTTTTCTTAAAAAAAATCCTCTTTGACATCACTTCCTGTTTCCCTTTGTTTGAGCCAAGTTCAAATAAAAGTCTGCCAGTTATRTGATACAGTTTGTAAAAKCACTTGYAWTATGCCAGGTTTCTTAAATATAAATGTGTTTTCTTTGACTTTTTGTATTTGAAGGATATGCATGTCACAGGTGCTTTAAGTCAGTGTTATTTAGCTACTATTTTTAATATTTAAGAGCTATTTGTGAGAGCATGTGCATTCCTGTAATTCATTACCACGCTGCTCCTCAAAGGCACTGTGATTTCAGGTTAGCGTTTTTCAGAGAACTTCCTCAGCAATATCTGCAAAGAAAAGCAAAGATCAGCTGTAATAGAAAATGATTGGTGCTGCGCTTTTTTAAAAAAGAGGTGTTAATATGGAAATTGAGTTCTCAGAGAAAGACTTTTCAATTATTCAGAAAGTCTGTCTTTCCTGACACAGCCCTCTCACCCCCTGTAAACCTCATCATGCTCCTTTGTCTGATGTCATTTTTTATACTAAATAGAATAGATACCTGTGTATTATCACAATTTCTTTAATTTTTATTCTTTTATTTTATTTATTTAAATCGGCCATTTTAAACCTTACCGTTTATAAGACAATACAGTACAGAATAATGAAAACAAATCAGAGTTAATACGGAAAATAAATAATACACAATCTTTGAATTCCTATCAATGTAAAAACACGAAGACCAAAAAAAAAAAAGTGTAGGTAGAAGCATTTTTTTATATCTTCATTTTTTATACATATATTTAAAAAAACGGCAACATCTTTCCTATAGATTTTTCTAAAGGAAATCAATGAAATTCTAACCAAATTTGTAACAAACTCAAACAACAGCGAACAATCATAATCAAACCTTTGTGTAGCAAATAATTTTTATATATTATTTTAAATTGAATGGGTGAAAAACAGATTTAATTCTTCACAATTATTCCACACATAAACCCCTCTAACAGACATATCATTGTTTTTAATATTTGTCCTAACTTTTGTTTTTTGAAATGAACTTTTCTTTCTTAATTCATAGTTTATTTGTTTTTATTTTGAGCAGAGTTTAGTGTAAGCTTTGTTGTCAGTGCGGTTCTAAATAGAAAATGAACAAGGAAAGAAATCTCGAAGTTACGTACCCTTGTTTGCTTGTCTTTATAACCCTAATTGAATCATCACAGATATATTGATGTTCTACACAGCAGACAATTTTTAAGATGCACAGGAAGCTTGCCTCAGGGTCCAGGCTGTTGTGTATGTTGTATGCGATGTAAGGWGAAATCATCTTGACTTGTGTAGAGAAAATGTAGCCCGCGGCTCCGTGAGCTCTTCTTTTTGTCTGTGCCCTTTTATGATCTTATTTGTGTTTCTATTGTTTTACATTTCTGATGGGACTGATGAGCTGTTGGCTCTAGCTCTCAGCATTATTCATGCTGTCATAATTAACACATAATCACCTGATAATTATTCCACGCTGCGCATTCACAAACCAGATTATTTCTGTTCGATTCGCATGTTTAAAAACAGCTCAACGGAGCGAACAAATGCTGTTTTTCCATCACCGTCATTTTTGTGACATCATATTGTTGCTTCTTCCTCTTGCATTTGCTTTATTGTTGACATTTAAGTTCTGCTTTTTAATGCTTCAAATTTTACTGAGCTTTTATGAACATCATAAATGTCAATAGAAACCAAATGATGCTGCACAACGGTAGGCAAAGTTAGATTTTAACTTTACCATCCTATTAATCAGTACGGTTRGGCGATWTTGGCAAAAAAATGAATCACAAATAATTGTGGAATTTAGCCAATAACTATTAATATGACGACTAATCCTCTCAAGTCCTTGGATGCYCTCATATCCTTAGTCACATGACCAATTAAAATCACACTAATGAGAAAGTTTTGTTCTCAATAAAAATCTTTTCCAAGTTTCTCAAAAGTACAGACTTCAGGCTATACATCAGTTTTTAAATGTGTTGATAGACCAAGTAAAACTGGAGTTAGGATAAATAAGTCACAGAACTTTTTAAAAATATGTTTGTCATATTTGAAGCGGAGAGGAGCACCGAGCGGACTGACCGGGGAAATCTAAAATCACATTAATCATATTAATCATCAGTGCCAAAAAGTTTTTCTGATGATTAATTCCGCACAATACGATTTTAACAACCCTACTAATCAGACCTGCACAAGTTTATAGAAATCAGCATTCTCGTTGAATACTGGCATATCAATGAAAGCATCAAATTATATATATTATATTATCTGTATAGTGTATATACACTCACCGGCCACTTTATTAGGTACACCACGCTAGTAACGGGTTGGACCCCMTTTTGCCTTCAGAACTGCCTCAATTCTTCGTGGCATAGATTCAACAAGGTGCTGGAAGCATTCCTCAGAGATTTTGGTCCATATTAACATGATGGCATCACACAGTTGCCGCAGATTTGTCGGCTGCACATCCATGATGCGAATCTCCCGTTCCACCACATCCCAAAGATGCTCTATTGGATTGAGATCTGGTGACTGTGGAGGCCATTTGAGTACAGTGAACTCATTGTCATGTTCAAGAAACCAGTCTGAGATGATTCCAGCTTTATGACATGGCGCATTATCCTGCTGAAAGTAGCCATCAGATGTTGGGTACATTGTGGTCATAAAGGGATGGACATGGTCAGCAACAATACTCAGGTAGGCTGTGGCGTTGCAACGATGCTCAATTGGTACCAAGGGGCCCAAAGAGTGCCAAGAAAAGATTCCCCACACCATGACACCACCACCACCAGCCTGAACTGTTGATACAAGGCAGGATGGATCCATGCTTTCATGTTGTTGACGCCAAATTCTGACCCTACCATCCGAATGTCGCAGCAGAAATCGAGACTCATCAGACCAGGCAACGTTTTTCCAATCTTCTCTTGTCCAATTTCGATGAGCTTGTGCAAATTGTAGCCTCAGCTTCCTGTTCTTAGCTGAAAGGAGTGGCACCCGGTGTGGTCTTCTGCTGCTGAAGCCCATCTGCCTCAAAGTTCGACGTACTGTGCGTTCAGAGATGCTCTTCTGCCTACCTTGGTTGTAACGGGTGGTTATTTGAGTCACTGTTGCCTTTCTATCAGCTCGAACCAGTCTGCCCATTCTCCTCTGACCTCTGGCATCAACAAGGCATTTCCGCCCGCAGGACTGCCGCTCACTGGATGTTTTTTCTTTTTCGGACCATTCTCTGTAAACCCTAGAGATGGTTGTGCGTGAAAATCCCAGTAGATCAGCAGTTTCTGAAATACGCAGACCAGCCCTTCTGGCACCAACAACCATGCCACGTTCAAAGGCACTCAAATCACCTTTCTTCCCCATACTGATGCTCRGTTTGAACTGCAGGAGATTGTCTTGACCATGTCTACATGCCTAAATGCACTGAGTTGCCACCATGTGATTGGCTGATTAGAAATTAAGTGTTAACGAGCAGTTGGACAGGTGTACCTAATWAAGTGGCCGGTGAGTGTATATTTCATTAATCCATTTTTACACATGAGCATCAGAGATTAAGAGTCTTCTCAATGAGAGATTTTCTACAGAAGATCTGCTCTCAAAGTGTGAAATATGAGACACACAGAAGGTTGGAAGGCAGTTAAGAGGGAGGACGTGATGTAAAAAGTCCAGCACTTTCATCTTAGCTCCTGCGGTGATGGATGAGACTCACTGTCTTGTGTTTGTATCCATACCACATGTTTCTGAATCCATCCAAGTATTGATGAGCAGGGTTTAAAGCAGCACATAGGTCAGCAGAAAAAGAGTGCGAGGCAGCAATTTTTACCAAAATGCACACTGGCAGTAAATGGACCCYGGAGAATCCCCCCTACATTTGCACATTGTCCCACTTCCTCAGGACTTTACACAAGTTAAGTGACAAAAGAAAGAAGAAAAAAAATATTGGCAATTATTTGCCTTACATTTCTACAGGTTCTTTGCTTTTTACATTCTATTATTATATGTATATATATTCTCTAAACTACAGTTAGAGTCATTGACCTTTGCAGTTGGATTGTCTGTTTATTTTCTCACRCAGCAGTTTTGTTTTGTGGCCTCAGACCCCCCGTATCGTTGAGGAATGGGGACAGCAGCAACACTCTGAGGTGAACCTGATCCGACCCGTCAGTTTGAAGTATTACTAGTACACAGATGAAAGAAGAACTGGCGCACCGATCGCCTCATCTCCGTGTTTCAGATGTTTAGGCTTTTTCCTGACTGATTTACGTGTTGATAACTTATGCTCTGCTTTGCATCAAGCTACAGAAAGACGAATAACAAATTTATGAGCAAACCTATATTGGAAAGTGGGTGAATTTGAGGGGCAACAAGGAATGAATACATTTACTGTTTTTCATTAAAATATGATTATTTCATTTTGACAATGAATTTTTTCACATTCTCTTTAGCTTATGTGTTCGTTTTATAATGACTTCCATATTAATTAACAATGTAGGGAAAACATTGCTGTTATGCAGTCAAAGTTTCCTGTTTTCTTCTTTTCTATGTTCTCATCTCTTGCCCTTCCTGTGGCCATTCATCCATCCATTATTTAGTGTTGCTSTTTTAACCCTCTARGGTCTGGGGTCTAAATGGTCATTTTGGCTAATTTTGAATTTATCCTTATATTTTCATCTTAAAAACTATTTACCTTGCCTTGTTTGGTATCATTATTTTCAGCWCAACCAAAATGTTGACTATGCTCCGTTCTCCCGTCTCCAAAACTCTCACAAACTTTTTTTTATTGGTTGCTTTGGAAATGCATTTCGGAAAATCAGAAAAATGGGTGTCATGTTGCATTCAAGCTCTTCCTGGTCACAAAACATTCACTGAATGTGCAGAAAATGCATAAGAAATACTCACAAAATTATGGCGAAAATTATTTATCATAAATCTGGTTTTGGTTAGGGGTTAGGTTAGGTTTTTTTTTAAGTAAATAAAGAAACAAAAAACAACATAAAAACATTATTTTTATAGAGTTTGAAGTCTGTGCTGTCCAACCCAGTTTAAATGAGCACTCAGCTTGCTGCCATTTTTGTTGCATTAACCCTTAAATGGTGGACCAGAATCGCCTCGAATCGCCTTTAGCCGCTACATGTGTCATAATGTCCATTCTGGAGCGTGCTGGACCTTAGAGGGTTTTAACCTCATCTTTCTTTGGTCCTCTCATTACTTAATTTTAATTTTGTTTTAAATGTATTTAGCCGAAACATTTCTCTTTGGTATAATGATGTACCTTTTGTGGGTGGACAGTGCAAAATGTGTATTTATGCATATAATAAAGCTGTTTTACTCAGTGAAATCAGCAGATTAACGACTCACTGACATTTGGCTTCGTCAAAAACAGTTAACCATCCAAAAGGAATTTTACTAATTACCCTTTATTATTCATTTTTTGTTGAACTTTCTATTTCTTTCTTTTTGAGTTGTCATTATGTCAGTATTATTATCACTGAGGGAGATGTTTTAAGACAGAAGTTTGAAGTCTGATGGATGCTGACTCCTCAGACTGCAGAGCTCATTATCTGTCCATGCGCACACCCACAGTAAGATCATTACACAGCCAGTTATAAAGTGCTTTCCCCTCCTGTTAGACTCTCGAGCTCAGTCAGTAGTTGTCAGAGACCGTCTACCTGTGAAAGCTCAAATGAGCTCAGCAGGCATTTCATCCCTCTCAGCCTCCAACTCTACGCCCTGTGAACCCTGACTCAGCTGGAGCCATTTTAAGGTGTCCTTAAAAACCACAGGGCTTCAAAAGGTGAACCATATGGTCGTCCTGAGATGCAATCAGGCTTTTCAAGCTATAAAACCAATATCTCAATAATGTTTGTTGACCTACAGATGTTATCTAATGGGTTTTTACTGATTGATTGCTCACATAAAACAACTTTGTTTGGAAGAAAGTTCAGTGAATCTTTACATTTCTTTCTGTCTAAGAAATGCAGATTCTGTCCATGTTGGGAGAAACATCAGGAAAAGGCAACTCAGTTGTGATTTTCTTCTTTTCTTTAAAATAAACCCTAAAATATTATCTAACATTGACATTTTTCTGATGGTTTTGTCTTAAACTGTAAATGAAATTTATTGATTTTGTTGACAGAATTGTATTTCTTCTGATAAAAAAGCTGTTCAGTTTATGCTGACCTTGATTGTGACAATGATAATCAATGGTTTAAATGACATATTTTATTAATTGCCATAAACTCTGTTGCTTCTTGTCATTGTGTTTTTTTTTTTTTTCAGATGAGGGTTACTACCAAAGTGGAAAGTTTCAGTTTGAAATAGTTGTCCCTGAAGCCTATAACATGGTGGTAAGTAGTCCAGTTTTGAACAGAAAATAAGACAAGTGTTGCTGTTTTCCTAAAAAAGAGCTCAGGAAAATGTGCTTTAATTTGTTTAATCTAGTTACCTCAGATTAAGATTTGATTCATCTCGCTTCAGCTATTTTATTTTTTGTTAATCGTTCTGKGTCTAAATTCAGGGGCTAGGTCCTTCAAAGGATCCGGCCTACCTGGTCTAGGTGGCCCGGGTTATTTTTAGATTGCAAAGACTGGAAAATAGTGGCTGTGAATTTGCACGGTCTAGCCTTTATTCCCACCCAGAATCAAAAATGGATCAAAATTAGCAAAATATCTGTATTTTAGTATTATAAATATCATAATATTATAAATATATTTTCCAAAATGGTTGGTGCTACATGAGTGTTTGACTTCAGTCAGCAGATGCTTATATTGGGACCGATCTCCCTCACCGCTGACTGTTTTTTCTTGTGCTTAGCAAGTATCTAATTTAAAGCAGGAGCTGAAAAAAAATGTAAATGTAGTTCTGTGAAGTTCAGTGTGGAAAAAAAAGGGAACTTGTTTCAAACTGTTATATTAGTTGTGAAAATGCTTCTGTAGTTTGAAAGCACCATATGTTACTATAAATTGAATTGGAAAATGTTAACTAAAGTAGCATACAGATATATTCCCCCCTGCTTAGGAGCATTCTCTCTCCAAAACATTTATGAGTACCCAGTCTAATACTGTATTAGGAGGGTTCCTTTTTTTCACAAACAAAACTGAGCTGTCAGGACATAAACAGAACTCTCAGGGTGTCCTGATGTGTTTGGTCACAGAACATTGGCAGTAGATCCTTTTGAAGCCTGTAAATTGTGGGGTTGAATATTCACGAATGAGACTTTCTTCCCAATAATGCTGTCATTAGATTGTTGGCTGGGGGCTTTGAAGGTCTTTGTGTGTGTAGTTGAAGCCTTTCCTAAAAAAATTTTTTTCCAGACACAACAGTGAAGCAAAARTAGTGTGGCCTGTTGGAGATCTGAAATATTTTAGATTGGTTGTAAATTATAAAATAACCTCGTTAATGTTCGGATGCATGTTTATATTACATATTATTATCATTCAAAATAAATCTTATTTACTCGACAGTTCTTATAATGTTATGTCTGATGGTTATGGATTAAAAAGCCACTGTGGGACTTGAAAATAATTAAATTTAAATATATGTATTTTTTGTCTGTCTTTGTGTCAATCTTCAGCCTCCTAAAGTCAGATGTCTGACCAGAATATGGCATCCAAATATCACAGAAAATGGAGAGATCTGTTTAAGGTAACTGTGTTTGATTCATGATGTGTCCTTYATTGTGTTTTAACACTTTTTCTTTTCTTTTAGTAATAAACTGATGGGTTACCTCACTTATGTTCTAYGATTCACTGTTCATTCTTCAGTTTWAAGTGAAGAAGCCTTTTAGATGAGAAGCTTTTTTTTCTCTTAAGGTCTATAGTGGTCCTTTAAGCTCTTTGTTCTTTACTGGTGTGATAATTGTAGACACGTTGAAGCTTGTGAACCTTGTTAATGACTTAAAATCCAGGAGTGGATGAAGGATAACATAGGAATAGCTACAAAATGTCTCGGCCAATTGTCCGTTGCTGCAAATACATTTTTATTTTTTATTTTTTCCCGTGCAGCTTGTTGCGAGAGCATTCTATTGACGGCACAGGCTGGGCACCGACCAGAACGTTAAAGGTAATTTAAATGAATTCATTTATGAAATATGTCTTTGTATTTATGTTATTTTGATTTTATTATTAAAAAGGCTGAAGTTGTTTGAAAAATAAAAAAATAGACAACATAACCAATCTATTATAACCAGTTTACTGTAGTCCAGCATCATTAATGTCTTAGATGTGGATGGTTTGATCTGTTTTTTATGCTCCAGTTGCAGAGCAATTCACATGAAAAAAATCAGGTTCAAAACTACTTTATAGCTGGTTAAACAAAATAAACAAAAACAGGGCAAATACRCATATATTGTAGATTCTCAGTGATTCAAGACATGATAATTCTAACAAACTGAATCAAAAGCAACTACACTTTTTTTCTCTTCTCRTTTAAGAAGTTCGCTTAGTTTCAATTTGTAGATGAAAAATACAATGTTTTCATGGCCTTTCAAGCCAGTTTGTTGGAATTAACAAAGGGGGAAAAAGTGAATGACATATTAATATTCTGTTGTTTTTGTTTAAACAAAACTTTTATTTTATGATTTTTCTTTGATTTAAAGCATTGCAGCTGCAGCTCAGCTGAAAATGTCATTTGTTATAAGAAGTTCCTTTTTGAAAGTAAACATTGCGGCACAGTCCCTTTTTTTTAAAATAACTCCTATCACTAGCAGTCTGCACAATGTGATCCCGACTGATCAGTCAAATGATGTTCTCATCAGGATTTTGTTGTGATCTTTGAGATCAGATTGACCATGGTTTTATTTATATATATATATATATATATATATAAAATGTTCTCCTAAAATCCAGTAACTCTCATAAAACTTGCAATGTTGGGTGTTTTTCTAATCGGACCTTACTCTGTATCTCATCACAGTTTTTCCTTATCTGCAGGAGCAGAAACTTGTACTGTATAACCAAGCTTTTAATAGTTAAATGCTTATTTAACTGTGATTTTATAGATATTTAAGAACACAAAAGAAATAATGGTGACTCTCCGTGACACGGGGCCTTTCTTATTATTCGCCAMCTTTTTACTCCGCTACACTTACAGTGTTCAGAAAATACTGAATAGGGTCAGTGAAATTCTATTTTTCTCTGCATATAATAAAAAAACGAGTTTGCAGAGTTATGTAAAGTAAACTTCACAATGAAAAGCTTTCATTTGCATACAAAGGTGTGCCTTGACTTTTCAAGATTTACCCTTCACTTGATGATGCTCTCCTGTGCAAGCTGTTAGAGTGGTTACTGAAGTTTTAAAGCAAGGGCGCTCTCTTCTATCCTCGTTGAAGATTTGACGAAAATTGCATCTGATAGACACCTCAGCCTTAAAAAAATATATACGTATCATAAGAAGGAGCTCAGCCCTCCATAYTAAAGCTGGCTGTTATTCTCTGCAGAGTCCCAAGACCAGATCAACAAGTTTCTCAGCACCTGCACCAGTTTTACCTCCTTGAATGCAAATTGTCTGTGGCAGAACTGAAAGTTGTTTTTAAATGAAAATGCCACATTTTGAAAAGAGAGTTTCTGTTGTTGCTGCTTTTGTTAAGTTGTAAGTTTGGTGGGAATGAATCTGATGAAGGGCTGAAAAGACATGACAAAAACTGAATCCAGAATGATAACACAGTGGATGAAAAGCCCAGTACTTCCCTACTACTTGCACACAAGTTAACTAGTAAGAATCAGTCTTCAAGTCTGACCATCTCTATGAAATTAGAAGTTTGTTGCTCTGAAAGATCCAGGTTCATATTACACAACGCCAAGAAGGAAAGACATCAGTAACGATTTTAGAGAAGCAGCCATTCCTTCCTGCAGATCCTGAAAAAGTCTTAATAAGGCCTTAATAAATGTCTTAAATCAATCTTTCAGAAGTCTTAAAAATGTTAACACATTATAAATAGGATGATTGTGATTCATTTCAAATATTAAAATAATTGGTAACATTTATTTTTTAAAATATTTACATGCAGAGAATCCCCTTTGACATCACTTCCTGTTACTTCATATGCAAATATCTCAACAACTGTCCATCTGAGCAACGTGAAATTCATTTTGTAATATGTTAAAAATGTTGTCTTTCCAAAAATGCGTTCACTTATAAATTTTGATGTCACTGGCACTTTAAATTTTTTATTTACAGCGAGCTGGGCTTAAGACCCCACTGTGGGTCCTAAAACTCCAAATTTTGGGTCGTTTGACTGCTAAGAATATTTTTGCTATATTTAATGAAAAAGCAGTTAGATATGGATAAAAACAATTGTTCTATTAGCAAAATATTTGAATACTTCAACGAAAATTACTTTGATTCATGAGTTGCTGCTACAGTTTTTTTTGTCTTTTGTCTTTATTATGAAATTGGTCTTAAATTTAATTGCACATGGCATTAAAAAGTCTTTAAAATTCTTAAATTTAACTTGCTTTAAACTGTAGGAACCCTGCTTTAGTTGTTATTAAAATGCTGTTTTTATGTTTAAATCAAAAACAAACTTGACTTGTCATCATTTCCGTTTCTGATCACCTTGAAATTGGCCTCTGTCTGTGTGCTCTGTGATGAGGAAGCTCAGTTTGGAGACAGTCCAGAGGAGGAGCTGATCCCAAAAGGTAGTTCTAGACCCAACCGGTGGTTTTTGCTCCCCTGCCTGGCTGCCTCAGGACACTACAGGAATTCTCAAACATGCATGAATGAGTCAAAAYAAGACTCTGGGCATGTTTTTGATGAGAGGATAGCATTATAACATGATATAAAGCTCAAAACAGTTGATTTTACGTGATATTGCTCCTTTAAAGCAAAGCTTAAAGTTAATTTGGCCATCATCTGAAAATAGTTTGAGACTTTGAGGATTAGTGTGTAAGAAAATTTCGTGTTCATTAACYGAAATCGAGACGAAAACACATAAATGATGAATAAATTGAAATGGGAAAGGAATGAGGACCATACAACACCAGTGACTGGAAATGAACGAGGACTTAATGCTCTCAATGCAAGAAGGAAACCCACAGTGAATGAAAAACYGGAAATGCCGGCTAAAAGTACATGTTCTTCAGTGCCTGGTACGCCCACTACTGGCCTACGGCTGAATCGCAGGCACTCTGAAAAGCAATGCTCACCTAATGTTTTATAAACAGTTTCTTATGTGTTGTGATAATGTTTCAGGCATGTATCTAAACTATTTTAATCAAGACATAACAATAKTTAAACAATGGATTATAAAAGTYAATACTTAAAAAGGAAAACTAAGAAAATGGTGWAGTGCTTTTAAAATCAGTATCTRACATAACAAATTTCTTCAAGTGTATAGCTACCACACATGGTGTTAAACTGATTTGCTGTGTTGGTTTGGCTGCCCGTCTCTGCTGTCTGACAGGTGTTTATTTGTTTGGGTAAAGGGCTCCTTGTTTGCTAAAAGGTAGGCGTGGATGTTGTCGCACGCGTGAAAGCGGTCGAGCCGGAGTCCATGTGCGTCACACAAATGTCACTGCGAGTGCACAACAATGTGAGAAAAACAAAGTGCAAAAGCTTCAAAATCAGAAGAGGGCTGCATGTGTGGGCGATGCTGTCACCACTCTCCTCCAGCCCACACACGAAATACCTTCACACTCACATTGGTTATAAACTTTTTTTAATCATCCTCTTTGAAGCACACATATTGTGCTCATGCAATTTATTCCGGRCTCATTCTGTTTTTCCACTTGTGTTTTGTCTTCTGCTGTCAGAAAACCTGGATTAAGAGAACTTTATTGTAAAAATTGAGCTTTTTAACAGTAAGTTGTAATATTTGTCACTTTCCAAGTCGTAGGGAAGTTGTTTTTATTTACTTGGTATATGCAGATGTGATTTTCAGCTGACAGAACAGTTTAAATGAGTTTAAATATTGGTGTTGGTCGATGATGGGGAAATGTGAAGAGATTTCCTCAGTTGGAATTGATGTGGTGGCTTCATGATGAGACTCCTGGGGGGGCCCTGCGGTAATGCTTTTTACTCAGGTTCTCATTGTGTTTGATTGCTTTTTGGACATGATTGCTGAGTGGGAAGTGAGAGTAATTATCAAAAGTAGTGTACTCAGGCGATGACACACACCTCACTCTTCTCGGTTAAAAAGAAAACATAATCTGCAGAAACGGTTTAGAGTTGGGGTGTATTCACATCTGAAACATTTGGTCCRCTTTAAACAGACTGAGTTTGTTTYCCCCCATTGGTCCGGACCTTTTATGCYGGTGTGACCAGACCRAGACCCATTTTTGAGRTGGTTTGGGTCCGCTTCCACATGAACTCTGGTGCGGTTTGCTTCTGGTGTGAATACAGACTGGCCTTGAATCGAACCAAGTACAGGAAACGTGCCTTTTTGAACTTCAYGAGCCACCGTAGCTGAGCAACATTAGCCCTTGTTGCTAACGCTAATGTGGGTCAGGGAACACRGAGCATCCAGTCTCCTTTAGGTTGCACATATCTGACAATGCTGTCCCAGAATTATAYCATCGCAAAACCTCCACTGAATGAACTGCTTTTTWAATAGTCGGTTGTTTTAACATCATCTTTATTTCCAGGTCTGTGCTCAGTCCCGCCYCCATCATTTTTGGCCAATGGGAGCAAWAACTGTGTCCTGCGTGGCTTGATTTATAAATAATAGTCAACTTGCAAAAAACACAATGTGAATGCAATCCGCACCAAAGGGAAAAAAATAAGTCCACTTTTAGGTCTGGACCAAGCAAGTGGAGCAAAAGACTTCCTGCTGTGAATAGTGTATAAATTTTTTATTTTATTTTTAAATGAAATGAATAAATGAATTAAATAAATAAATAAATAAATAAACAGTAGTACATATTTTTTTCTGCTTGATATTTGTAGCTAATATTTGTATTGCAGATCATTCTGTCATTAACCTGATGTTTCAGTCGAACCTCTGGTTTGGAAATTGATAAAAATCTAATTTAAGAAAACAATAAATTTCCTCTTTRCATTTACAGCATTTATATGTGTTCAGGTTTAACCACCTTTATAAATATGACAGTACTTGTGCATTTTATTGGAATTAAATTTTGATTTATCAATATTTCTTTTTTTCAGGATGTGGTCTGGGGATTGAACTCTTTGTTTACCGTAAGTCGAACTTACTTGTACTTTAAACCTTCGGTCTTTCTTTGGAGAATAAATGCCCTCATGGTTGAAAGCATAATTTACCCAGCGGTAACTTTTTTTATTCCTCAGTWAGGTTTCTGAACAAGTTCACATAAACAGAATTATTTGGATCTTAAACAAATCTTAAAGCTGCTCATTATGTTGGTTGCAGATGGTATTAGTCTAAACTCAGAAATGTATAAATGAGGAATGTGTTAATTTCTTTTTATCGCTGTAATGAGACAAGTTTTACTCAGGTAAATCATGTTTAATGTTAGGAAGAACTAATTGGAAATTTTAACCAAATAAATCAGATTGCACATGTTGTAGAGATACACAGTAGCTGCTTCATATGAATATACAGCCATTACGTAGTCCTCATTAAAGTGAGTTATACAATAAAGAAATAAAACTAAATATGATTATACTTTTAGAAATATATCTTTATGAAGCAAGMATAAAAAGATGCTTTTGGGATTTTAAAAGCAAACAGAAAACTACACAAACTTATGAAATAATTATGAAGTCTGATAAATGAAGTCATTGACGCAACATTTTCTACTAAATGTGAGCTTGTACGTGTCTTTCATTGTTGCTATTTCGGATGATATTTCTCTTATCTTGAGGACGGCAGTGTGTTTACAGCGATAATGGTGACACATACACGGTCATGACCTAAATCTCCCCATTTAATCACCGAATAAAGTCTCAGGCCGTCCCTCTTTTATATCTCTAACAACAGGCTCTTGTTGCGTGGCATCTCTGAGGCAGCTGTGTAATTAAACCGTTTTGTTTGTGGCAGTGACAGAAGCCGGGGTGACATTGAGCACAGTAAATGGTATTGAAGTGGGCTGCAATTCCCACAGCAGCTTTTCTTCACATTTAACCCACGGATTGAAGAATAGAAGTTTTCCTGTAAAATGACAGACCGTTTGTGATGATCGGGGCATGAATAGCCAAGTGTTTACTCATTTCTCCATGGCTTTGTGTACTTTCTGAGCTCCTTTTATCACCTCTTTTGCAGGACCTGTTGAACTTTGATGATCCACTGAACATTGATGCAGCAGAGCACCATCTGAGAGACAAGGTGAGGCTCATTCAGGAGGATTTTTCCTCTTAATCATCAAGTAGAGTAGCCACAAGCAGTGACTGCTGGATAATTCACTCATAAATCCTCTCCATTAGTGTCTTAGACGTGCTTGTAGTTCATTTAATCATATTAAAATCCAGGCCACTAAGGAAGCCCTGCGTGGAAATCTATTTGAACTACATTTTGTGCTGCAGTTTTCATTAATGCACCGTGGGATCATCTTGCTTTAGTAGGTGGAGTAATGTGGTAACAGAGTGCTTTAATCTGGTATAGTGGGCTGAAGCAGCCTTTCTGGGAGCACAGCGGATGTAACGGTGTACTTGAAAGCTATAGTCACGGAAAAAAGGTATTCAGAAAGGGTACTTGGTCATATACAGCTACTAAATTTAGTATCTCTGCAGTAGACTGTAGGCTCCACAAATCAGCACATTAAAGCAGATCTCTGAATCTTCCACCCTTCACTGCTGTTTTTTTCCTCTACTACACAGCGACTTTAGGCTTCAAAGCAATAAATAAGGAAATGTAAACACTGTAACAGAGAGGAAAATAAAAATAAATAGATTTTTAAAAAACAGACATCAGGTGATTCACTTATTTTTCTTTGTAGTTATTGACATTTAATATATTGTCATATTTTTATCCTAAGTTGTATTAACTTTATTTGGTACCACTTTACAATAAGGCTCCCCTAATGGTGCGTTCACACCGAACGCGATTTCAGCGTCAAAATCGCAGCCAACGCTGAAGTTTGAAGCTTGTGCACTTTGAGGTCAGACGCAGGACAGCTGCGCTGCACGGCGACAGCCGCCCCGCCCCTCCCTCCTCTGTGGGGCTGTTTAATGTCGGACGAGGAAGTGGCTTTGCTTTATTTACAGAGAGCCAGAGCATGTCACGTTCATCAGATAATTAATTCATAATTAATTCACCAGATAATTCAGAGAAGAGGCTCACAGCTCGCTTTCAGGACTATTTTTTTCAGTCTGATGAGTCACTGCCACACATTGCTGCGGATCAGGACACGACTGCAGCACTCATTTCAGCTAAAGAGCAGGAGCTCTGTCTGTTTCAGGTTAGTGGCCAACATTCAGTAAACTGTCCCGTCGGGAAATATGTCDCTACGTCACACAGTGGAGTCTCTCTGATTGGTTGACGCTGCGCGTGAGCTGCAAAAGTTCAGATTTTCTAACTTCAGCGATTTGCGCCTCAACGCGTCGAACGCTCAGATCGTTCAAATCGTTCAAATCGCGCTGCTCTAATCGCGCTTGAGGCGCCGCAGAACTTCCCGACGCTGATTGAAGCGCGTCCACCATAGACTTTGTATGTAAACCTGCTGCTCCTGACGCTGAAATCGCGTTCGGTGTGAACGCACCATTATAGATAGCTTTTAAAGAGTTTATAGATAGGTTATTAATAAATCTGTAAACGCTTTATAAATTATATAGTAAAAAAGACACTAACCCCTTAACAGTTGCTCCTGAAATTACTTAAAAGTCTTTTGCCTTTTTTTTGGTAATGCTGTGAAACTAAAGATAATAACTGGAGGAAGTTGTCTACAACATAGGGGGCTTTTTTTCTTTTGCGTTACCATGCATTTTTTTGCGTTACCTCACAAAACCGCGTTATCTCGCAATACCTTTGCGTTATCTTGCAATAGCTTTGCATTATCTTGCAATACCTTTGTTTTACCWCGCAATAACTGCATTATCTCGCAATACTTTTGTGTGACCTCGCAATACTTTTGCGTTACCTCGCAATACTTTTTGCGTTACCTCGCAATACTTTTTGCGTTACCTCGCAATACTTTTTGCGTTACCTCGCAATACTTTTTGCGTTACCTCGCAATACTTTTGCGTTACCTCGCAATACTTTTGCGTTACCTCGCAATACTTTTGCGTTACCTCGCAATACTTTTGCGTTATCTCAATACCTTTCTGTTACCCCGCAATAACTGTGTTACCTTGCAATACCTTTGCGTTACATCACAATACCTTCGCGTTATCTCATAATACCTTTGCATTACCTTTCAATACTTTTGCGTTACCTTGTTACCTTTCATTACCTTTCGTTACCTCAAAATAAAAGCCCCCGGTAGTGTCTTGAATCATTTAAAGGCAGAAACCGCATCGTTTTTTGCCCACCGGTGGAACAAAGACTGTTAAGGGGCTAAACTGTCCGATTTCTTTCCAAATACTGAGCCAAATCTGTTTGTGTATTAAACATTTCAGGCTAGTTTACTACCTTGTAGGCACAATAATGATTAGGAAACACATATTTTAACATATAATATTGTACTGTATTACTGCATTATAAATATCCACAAATATTAAAGGGATCTTTATTGTAAAGTGTAAAACTGTACACTATTTTGGATGGGGTGAGATTATTTGGTATGTTAACATGACATTTTTTTTTACTTTTTTGATATATCATCATTGTTGGTAGTAGTTACATGTTTGAACAATAATTTCAAATACTGATAATCAACACAAAGTTTTAATAATTGGGATTTTTCACTTTAAAAAATAACTTTTGGCATTTATAAATGTTTGTCATTAATAGTGTACCGTATTGATAAGTCCCCCTTTGACAGTTGTGAATGTTTATAATGCAGTAATACAGTACATTATTACTATATTAAAATATGTGTTTCTTATTATTGTACTTACAATGTAGTAACCTAGTGTGAAATGTATAATAAGCACCTTTTAGATGTAATATGAAGTTGAATAGATTAGTCTCATTATTTGGTAAGAAACTGGACAGTTTTGTCTCTTTTTCATCCTTAATTATTGCATAAAACATTTGTTAATGATTTATAAAGTGTTTATAGGTGAATTAATAACCTATCTATAAACTCTTTATAAGTCATCTATAAGGTTATTGTAAAGTGGTACCATTTATTTATTTATTCAGCACATATGCAAAGTGTTTACTGTCATCTTTCATTTTCGTATTTACCCCTCTGCATTTCTTAGTCATCCTTTTTTTATGCATTCTGCTGTGAAATGATTATATTTTCCACACCATGAGCGCAAGCAGAAATGTTCTCCCTGGTCAGAATTCAGTTACAAACTCCCAGGGCACCACAGGCTGCTGGCATCACTGTAGCCCAACATTTAATCACGCCGGTCGGCGGAGGAGGTTGTTCCAGCAGGAGGCTCAGCACTGGCCCCGCTGATGACTTCAGTGCAATCTGCACCGGAGCAGAGAGCATCAGATCAGCCACCAAACATGTGCTGCAGTTTCATGCTGGTCAATGTCACCACATAACTTGGAATTACATCACTGTTCTGCAGCGCTGCTGCTAGAAAAGCTGCATTGATAATGATCAGACGGACAAAATGTAAATGCTATTCTGTTTTGGCAGGCTGAGTATGAGTTAGTTGAATTTACATTTTCATTCTGAAAACTAAAAACCATCTCAAGTTGAGACATAAAAACAAACCTCTCTACGTGTGGCGCGCGTTACATTAATCTATTTTAAGTAACTTTTAGTCCTACTTCACTGTTCCGTTGTACTTTTCTAAAGTCGCACAACAACTAAAAACACAAAGTTGTCCAAGCGTGACCCTCTCCCGCTTAGTCACAGCTTGCCATAATCAACTTCAGCAGCGAGTGGATGGAGGTGTGGGAGGGTGTGTGCCAGCGCACAGCCAGGCTTGTGTATGTAGATGTGTTTGCTAAAGTGTGTTCAGGTTTTTAAAGTGGTGCTACTCCTGTAGCTGCTCTCTGAATACATTAGCTTGTTAAAGTGGCTGAAAGGAAGAATTCTCATGGGCTGAATATAATGTGTAGTTTGTTTGTTGGGGATTGTAGATTTGTCCTGCTGTGCTTATTTTGAGTGTGTGTGTTTTTATGGACATACATATTGACATTTGTGGAACAGAGTTTCAAAGCTATAGTAAATGTTTCCAAAAATATACAGAATTGGGCTGTTTTTACATTTTTTTTATTCTGTTTTGTTTCTGAGCAACAAATGGTGCAGTAAAACAAATCTGACATCACCTGATGCTACTGATCATCCTCCCTCAGTATTTCCCTGTTTGATGCTTTATGAAGGAAGCTGATTAATAATCTTTAGAATAATCACACCCTCTGACATTTGAAGTCCTTTCCAGAGATGTTTATTCTGTAAATGCTAATTAGCTGCCTCTTTAGCTTGATAAAGATGTGAAAAAGACMGGGAAATATTTTGTCTGTGATTGAATTTGTGAATTACTTTTTTTTCTTATTCTGAGTCAATACAGATGTTGGTTTTCACAACCTTTTTACTGGACAGTTACCTACTGTTCGGCAATTTTTTTAAGTAGCTTTTTTTTCCAAGACTTTTGGTCAACTGTAGTACGAAAACAGCTGCACCGATCAACGTTACATTTGGAAGGAATGTGGCTGACATACACTGCGCCAGCCAATGGTTTAACGATAGACCCTATATTTGAGGAGGGGGCTCCATCTAAAAAAGGGGGTGTCTGAATGTAAAAATGTGTATAACTCAAAAATTATTCAACATAGAAGCTTCATATTTTCTTATATATAAATATATATATTTTTTGTTGTTGTTTAGCTCTGAAGGACTGTCGATCGGGCCCACCAATGACCCCACCCCACCCCAACCCCCACTGAAAACAATGCACCTTAGCAGCCTGAAATTTGGTAGGCATGTAAATATGTCCAACCTACACTGCGCCAGCCAACAGTTTTACCATGGACCCCATATTTGAGGAGGGGGCTCCATCTAAAATGGGGGTGTCTGGACATAAAAAATGCTTATAACTGAAAAGCTATTCAAAATAGGAGCTTCATATTAGGGTTGGGCATAATCGTATCGTGTGCAATTAATCGTCAGAAAAACATTAATCGATTACTTTTTGACACTTGACAGTTAATACAATTAATGCCACCAGGCAGACTGACTGGGGATTACTCCKGTCAGTCTGCTCAGTGCTCCTCTCCGCTTCAAATATGACGAACATTAAAATAAAGTTCTGTAATTTATT